CCTCTCTACTGTTGGTTATAGGTAACATTAACATGATTGCTTCTCACTGCTCCTCACTTAATGGGCAGGTAATTTTCTCGCTGAGCGGTTTCATCGAAGTCCCTTCCGTAATTATTTCAGTCTTAACTTGTCCCTTTTCGTTCCTAGGAAGCCTTTTGAGAGAAGGCTACTCTTTTCATCCTTTTCCTACTCCACTTTCATGCGATCAACGCATAATTTCCGGTCTGGGTGAAAGTCGATCCATGAAGTTTTTAAAAAAGGGTCCTCTTGATTTCATGGGGTTTTTTTTTAAGGAGGAATGCCACTCAAACCGCAAGTCAGATACCTCATCTGCCTCTAGAGACCAAACCGTAAAAATCAGGGAACTGTCAGTTTTTAGCATCATCACAGCATGAAAGCATGCATTCAAAGCTCAGCGTGGTACGTATAGTGGATAAAGTGATGGAGTAGGACTCAAGTGATATGCATTCAAATTCCTGTTCAGCCATGGAATCTGATGGTGGAACTGTTAAAGCTAGTCGTTAACTATGTCACTTACACTGAAAGTCCTTTAAGGCCCCTATATGGGGGTTCCAACTTAATTGGCATATAATACCCACACTCAAAGCACAAGTCCCCATGGATCCAAGGGACAACACCCTCTTGATAACCATGATAGTTCATAGATTGCATCTGTGTCCAGAGACTTATATGGTAAAGATCACATAACCCTCGCTGCATCGTGCTGCCAATGGAGGAAAACATGCAGGCTATAGAGTCTCTATTTAAATAGGGTCATCCCCGAACTATGTTTATACCTACAGTTTCAACCATAAAATTAACAGCACATTAACTCGCATCACCATTGTGGCATAAGAACAAAGATCGAAGGCACAAATCCTCATAGATCTAAATGATGTCGATGTGGGATCTACTCAAAACCACCAATCACACGTGTGCCACAAAATAAGCCATGAAAATCATAGATCTCATACTTTGTTATATCATCTCTGTACAGAAATATTGGCACAAGGCAACCTTTGAATTTTTACAAGTGATCACTCCATGACCAAGGTCAAATAACAACACATCTGTGTTTTCAGACTCAGTCATAAAAAAATAACAGATTCCCTCACCTCATCACCACAGTGCAAAATCAGGGAGCTGAGTCTCATGGATTATTACATTTTTTTACATAGGATTGACCTTTGTAAATTCTAGATCACATCCGAACCCATTCTTGATACCTCATAGATAGACCACATTTCACTACCCTGTCTTAACACAAAAATGTGGTCAGACGCACAGAACCACATGATTTCTATGAATTTTTACTAGGGTCCCCTCCCATCGAGGTGATATAATGGAACATATCCATGCTCATGAACTGAACATCTCCAGATCCAGATTGTTATGCTTCAGTTGAGCAACTCAAATGTTTTCCATTATGTGGGTAGGATTTTGGATGGATCATTTGTAAAAACCCAGAGACGCCAGAGGGATCTGAGCCTCAGGACCCATAATATCTGTCATATTGATTGATCAGTACATAGGTACAGATACATGCTATGATGAGACCCCAGTGCTTCAGATTTGAATTTTTGTCCATGGTATTATTGAGAGAGGACTGGTCTTTCTTTTCTTGTCTTTTTTCTTAAGCTAAGTCCATGATCACAGATGTGTTGTGTTAATTGATGTGATTTAGAAAATCTGCATTTAAGAATACAAGGATCCATGAAGATCTAAGTCTGAAATGTATATTTTCATTCAGTGGCGGTACCACAAAGTGACGTACATGAGATTTTCGTCTAGTTCAGTCCATGGTCTTGAATGTTTTGTGTCACTTGAATATTGACCTCTTCAAACCCATTAAACCCATCCGTTTGAACCATGTTCTTCTATAGCAATGGTGCAGTAAAGTAAGACAGTCCTTATTTTTATAGTTTAATCTGTGGGCACAGATGTGATTTATGATTTGATGGTGGTTCCATATGTTTTGTTTGTTTTTATCAGCAGCAAATATTACTAGAACCCATGAGGATTCTTTCCTCATGAAACACCATGTTTTGACAGGATGGCAGTAGCAAATTACTGATTTTATGCTTGAATCTGTGGCCATGACTATGTTCCGTGATTTGAGCATCGTCTCCTAGAAAAGCGCAGAGGGTCCATGAGGATCTATGACTCATACTCACATATTTGCTCTGCAGTGACAAGAGCCGTGATTTCTATGCATATTGGACATAATCAAAAAATAGAAAACAAGAGACAAAAATCAAACATTGTGGCACCTAGAAGAATAATTGCTATACTTTAATTGAGCTTTCATAGATCAACTCCTCTTCCTTAGACACTGATCTGTGGAAGCTCACATTAAACTATAGCAGCTAGTTTTTAAGGTGCCACAACATTTTTGTTTCCTTTTAATTTTGATGGGGGTTTTTCTTTCTTTATCTGGTATGCTAGCACAGACTAACATGGTTACTTCTTTGAAAACTACAACTATGAGCTCTATGGTTTAGGCATAGGACACAAATTTAGTATATGATTTAATAGTGGCTTGGGGTTGATAACATATAAAGCTCTTATAATCCATGAGGTCCATGCCTTCAGATCCATATTTTGTGCCAGGATGGTGACAGGAAGTAAAGTATCTATATCTGAGATGTATTTCTAAGTAATCATGTGCAGGATTGGATTAACATTGTTTGGCGGGCATTAGCATTTACTGCATATTTATTTAGCCTTTTCTTTGCATTGTGAAATATTCAAAGTGAGATTAATTTTAAAATAATACCTGTCAACAGATCCAGCTGTCTCCCCTAGCCATCTATATTACTCCTCGCTCTCTCTCTCCTTCAGGTAGTACTGAATTCCCCCCTCTATATCAGGACACACTGTATTATAATTCTGTAAGATGCCAGTGTAACAAAATCTAGTACAGCAAGACCAAAGAGACAGAGTTCCTTGTAATGTCTAAGATCCAAGATGATTCCCATATACCAGAACACACATTCATGTTATGTGAAGGATATAAAACAAATGAAAGAAAAAGAAAACCCAAATCAGAATTCAGAATTCAAATCAGAGCAGCATGCAAACTCTGGATGGGCCTTTCTGCTGAGTAAACATGTGTAGGATTGCACAGTGTGCGAATTACCGGTAGTTTTAGTAAATCTTACTCAAAAATACTCTTCTCTTTCACCTCATTTTTGGTTTTACTGTTTGGAAATATATATATTTAAATAATAAAATGTTAACTTTTTTAAAAAAAGAGTACTTTGTGAGCAAGTTGATCTATTTCATTTTAAATCTTCCCAATTCTCTAAACTAAGCTGCCACTACAGGGATTTTGCAACCTATGTGTGCCAGGGACAGGGAAACAGTTAGGCAGCCTTACCTGGGACTCACATCATAGAAAATTGCTCCTATAGCAATGATGAAAAGGAGATAATATTGCTTTTTTAGTTAGACTGAGAGAAGAGAATGATTCTGAAAGGTGAATATTGGGAAATGGGATCATACAAGGCAAAACATTATATCAGGGGAAAGGATATGAAGCTGCCATAGAATGAACAATAAATAGAAAGAAATCTCCAAGTTAAGGCATTGCTATGTAAAACATATCTATCTATCTGCCTATTTCCAGTTCTTTTAGTATATAAACTGTGGCAGAGGCCATGTGTGAGCATAGGCAGAGTCACTATTAGGTATTTCATGTTAGCTTTTATGATTGGAGAGAGGGTTACAGGAATACACATACAGGTCTGGGAGCCAAAGGCAGTGTTAGATGGTGTATCTTTAGTTCCCCCTACTGGAATATAATGGGCAATGGTTATTCTTGGTTCCTCACATATTTCACCTTTTGTTTTGTGGTTAAGAAGACCTTTGTTGTAAAACTGAATTAAGTGTTATCTGATCTTACTTATAGGCTTTCATTCTTTTTTTCTTTCCCTCATAGATGAACATGCAAACCTATATACTCGAAAAGAAATAAGGAAAATAAAAGCATACTGAGCGTTGAACATAATTGTAAACAACATTTTGAACTTATTCTCAATCCATTTTAAAATACATCACTAGTTTGCATACCTATTTTAGATTTTAAATACTGTATATTACTATTGTGTGAAACTGAAGCATAACACTTTTTTACTCATAATCTAGTAATACTAAAGATCAGTATGCCGTTTATCCAGTACAGTATATAACATATGTAAATTTAAGTAATATAAGTAAATACCAAGTAAATTTTCTTTTAGTAAACCTATTCTTTGCAATTATAGTATTAATAGTTTCAAGGAAGTTTTTTGATCAAGAGTTCTCTGTGAAGGAATAGCTCTTCTGAGAAATTTTGATTCTAGCAGACGTATTTGATATATCAATGTAATCTGTATGACCAGAATATCTAAAGCTGAACATGGTTAACATCCATATCGGAAATAAATATAGATGTTAAGAAAAATCAAATAACCAGGATCAAGAGTGTTGTCCCTCTAGCATCCTCACTACTGAGGTTTTTTAAAATATCAATTATTCCTCATATTTTATAGTCTTCATAGACATACCCTACAGTCTTTATACTGGCTTTTTGAAGAAGGATGACTCTTGGAAGAAATC